TTTTGTGATTGGCTAGCGTCAATTGCGCTTCCGCGAATTTTACTCCATGGAACATTAGAATAAATTAGAAAATACATTTCAGCAAAACGGAATGTCTGCGATTGAACGGACTTTGTTCCAACAATTCTGCATTACTCATACGTTCCGTACCATGAGATCACACCATAAGACCGATTTATGAAGGCCGTAACTGTTGATTTAAGCCGTAATTAAACCCTAAAAAATTAATTAATTACAATCGATTATTCTTCTCACATTCGACTATCATTGGTCAATTTCTTAGGGTTTACGGCTTAAACCAACGGTTACGGCCTTTATAAATCTGCCTTTAAAAACAAAAAACGATCTATTAGCGCTACATGAGCGCGGGTCCGCTCGGCCTCGAATCGGCCATTACTGGTAGCGCGGTAGCCACCAATTCGACGCAGTTCGACGTCAGTCCACAATCGCGAGAGTTTTTCGAGTGGTGGTGTGTGTGATACCGCAATCGTATCGCGTATTTGATTGTATTTTCGTTCAACGTGCGCGGACCAGTTCGTCCGTATTGTCCGCTGAAAAGAAGAAGAAGAAGAAGATTTCCGATTGCGCGCGGTCGACGCCGCCAAGCTGATTCAGCGTCGCAAGCACAACCTCGACGTCGAGACCCAGTTGCTGCAACCACCAAGCGCCACGGCTAACGCTGCGAATTTGGAAAAGAAATTCGACCGACTTAGTATGAATGTTGTAAGTATACACATTTAATTTAATCTCAAAGTCTCGGGTACTCGCAACTCGTCGCGTCGCGCAAAAATATCTCGGGTACTCGCTACTCATCGCGTTGCGTAAATAAATAAAAAATAAATAAATATATAAATTTGAGCGGATAAAAATAAATAATAATAATATAATATTGGAACGCATTTATCTATAAAAATAATAATATAATATTGGATTCTATAGGATGAAGAATCATCTTCCGACGTAGACGTCGAAATGGATAAGGATAAGGACGCGACTGAAATGACGTGACTAAAGAAAGAAAATGCAGAATTGCGGCGACAACTCGCCGCAATTTAGTCGCCATCACTGCCGATGCTACACGTAATACCGTCACAGCCGGGACATTCACAGCCAAGACCTTCACAGCCGGGACTTTCACAACCGGGACCTTCACAGCCGGGACCTTCACCACCAGCAATGCCAGCACCGGCACCACCAGCAACGCCAGCACCGGCACCACCAGCAACGCCAGCACCGGCACAACCAGCAACACCAGCACCAGGACAACCAGCAATGCCGGCACCGGCACCACCAGCGATTCTTCCACCGGCACCACCAGCGATTCCTCCACCGGCACCACCAGCGATTCCTCCACAAAGACGTAAGTACAAAACTAAATCTATTAAAATACAGTTATGGTTTGCTCACTCCAAGAGCGATTATTGACGTCACTTCGGCAAAGCTCGATTTGCCGATGTGACGTCAATAATCGCTCTCTGAGCGAACAAACCCGGCCCTGTCGAAAACGCTATTTTTTATAAGACAAATTTCTGTTTGTTACAGCAAGGCGATGGCAAAGAGCCGGAAGAAACCGCTACAACCCAAACAACCCAAGAGGAAGAGGAAGAGGAGGAAGGGAAAGAGGAGGAAGGGGTGGAGGAATGAAGACGTACACACAAAACGTGTATTTATAAATTTTGCGAGCATTTTTTTT